TCTTTGACGCTGAGGGAAATCCACTATTTCCCTTCTACTGGACCCAGAAGCCGCGCAAGTATGACACGGTTTCCAAGTCACGCATGTCCCCAGAGGAGAGAGGAAGTCTTGATTTTTTAAACAAGTTGCCTCGGCCCTTACCATGTCGTCCTCTTGTCCGATTGTTTGATTCGGCCGATGTGGTCGAAGAATTAATCGGTATGGTATTTTTCCTACTTGTTTGAATTCAAGTGTTATCATTGATTTTGACTAATGATGTGCAGGTATAATGGCGGCTCATGATGATTTGGATATCCGCAACTTGCTTCGGAACCAACTTGCATCGAATACCGCGAATAGGCCTGCGCCCGCCGCGCGCGTGAATCAACCAGCTGGTCAAGGTAGCGGGGTCGGACCCACGTCTCGGCCGAAGAAGACCACCCGGCCCCAACCTGAAAAAAGAAGGCCTGACTCTAGGGCCGAGGAGGAGAGTCGCCGGGCAAAACAGCGCCGAGTGGCCAGCCCCCCTGTTCCCGAAAGCTTGTCGGCACCAAGTTTCTTGGCTGGCAATGTTAACGCTCAGGATTTCCTGAGTCAAGACCTGACCTCCGAGGTAGGCCAGGGGCTGCTGAGCCGAATGAGTTCGGCGCAGAAATGGAGCTTCTTTTGTGAGTTCCAAGTGCGCGCTGTGGCCATGGCACAGAGTATTGTCATGCAGCCGAACGGTGAGGCTGATGAGTTGCGCAAACAGCTAGCTGAGCAGGAGAAGTCTCTTCAAGAGACACTGGCTGCTTTGACCGACGCCCAGACGGCTAGTAGCAAGTATCAGGCCGAGATGGATCGCCGAGGAAGAACCGCTGATGACTTGGCCTTAAAGGTACAGCGTCTCGAACTTGCTCTGAAGGGCGAGACTGATAAGGTGACAGCTCTGAGCAAGGAGCTGGATGCTGAAAAGGCTGCCTTTGGTGCTTATCAGGAAAAGGCGCGCGCCAAGGTTCTCAGTCAGCATCAGGCCGGTTTTGCTCAAGCTGCTCGGCAGGCTTGCTACTTCGGCGACTTTCCTCCTGACTTCCACCTGGACATGACAAAAGATTTTTTCCAAGGGAAGTTGGTGGATATGACCTCCATTCCACCTGATCAGGAAGCCGACGAGGAGGCTCCGGCTCGGCCAGCTGGGCCGAACGAAGAGGAGACTCTGAACGAGGAGGCTGCGCCTGAGGATGGTCCAGTTCAGGGGGAGGCAGAAGTAGTGTCTTAAATGTTTCTTTTGTATTATGGGGCCGATAGCGCCTATTGATAATGTACCTTTCTCTTTTAATGAAATTTCTCCGTTCTTTATGTTATAACTGGCGTGAACTCTTGTGGTGATTAACAACTTAATTTGCGTGAGCCGTCTCCTTGGTCGAGAGATATCTCGGGAAGGAAGACTTGAATAATTAATTAAAGCCACATCCTTGGCCGAGAGACATCTCGGGAGGGAAGACTTGAATAATTTAATTAAAGCCACATCCTTGGCCGAGAGACATCTCGGGAGGGAAGACTTGAATAATTTAATTAAAGCCACATCCTTGGCCGAGAGACATCTCGGGAGGGAAGACTTGAATAATTTAATTAAAGCCACATCCTTGGCCGAGAGACATCTCGGGAGGGAAGACTTGAATAATTTAATTAAAGCCACATCCTTGGCCGAGAGACATCTCGGGAGGGAAGACTTGAATAATTTAATTAAAGCCACATCCTTGGCCGAGAGACATCTCGGGAGGGAAGACTTGAATAATTTAATTAAAGCCACATCCTTGGCCGAGAGACATCTCGGGAGGGAAGACTTGAATAATTTAATTAAAGCCTCATCCTTGGCCGAGAGATATCTCGGGAGGGAAGACTTGAATAATTTAATTAAAGCCACATCCTTGGCCGAGAGACATCTCGGGAGGGAAGACTTGAATAATTTAATTAAAGCCACATCCTTGGCCGAGAGACATCTCGGGAGGGAAGACTTGAATAATTTAATTAAAGCATGAGTGATTGAATCGTGTTGTTATTGATAAATGGATGCCTCGTTAAAAACCTTGCCGGCCAAAACCTCTTTTCACTATTTTTTAAGAGGGAAAAAGACCGGTTCAAGGAAAAGAGTGCACCCTTACAACGCTTACAAGTTTGTGAAATAGACAACTAGCTATAGTAAGTCTTCAAGTGCGTAGAGTTCCATGTTCGTGGGAGGACTTTGCCGGATAACTCCTCCAACTTGTATGCCCCGTTATGAAGAGCGTGGCGCACTCGAAACGGGCCGTCCCAATTGGCTGCCAGTTTGCCCTCAGACGGGTTGCGCCTTGCCGAGCCGGTTGCCCTCCATACAAGATCTCCGTCGTGAAATGTTCTTGGTTTGAGGTTAGAATTGAAGCGCCGACTCATGCGTTGCTTGCATGCTTCGGCTACTACCTGCGAATTGTCCCGTACTTCCTCAAGAACATCTAGTTCGGCCCGAAGAGATGTGTCATTGGAGTCCTCTTGAAAATGTTGTCGTCTGAATGATGGCTCCCCTACTTCAACCGGTATCATTGCGTCGGCACCATATGTTAGGCGAAAGGGGGTTTCTTTAGTGGTGGACTGTGGTGTGCATCGGTATGCCCAGAGGACTTCTGGTAATTCATCAGCCCATACTCCTTTTGCTGAGCCGAGTCTTCTTTTCAGTTCGGTAAGGATAACCTTGTTGGCCGCTTCGGCCTGGCCATTCGACTGAGGGTGCTCAACCGATGTGAACCTGTGCCGAATGCCAAGGTTTTCGAGGAATGAGTTGAACCTTTTGTCCGTGAATTGGAGACCGTTATCTGAAATGATGGCGTATGGGATGCCGAAACGGGTGATGATGTTCTTCCATACAAACTTTTGGACGTTAGCAGCAGAGATGCAAGCAAGTGGTTCGGCCTCAATCCATTTTGTGAAGTAATCTACTGCCACGAGAAGGAACTTAACTTGTCCCCTCGCCATGGGGAATGGGCCAAGTACGTCAATTCCCCATAACGCAAACGGCCATGGAGAGCTGATACTGTGTAGTTCGGCGGCCGAGGCATGGATTAGATTCCCATGCCGTTGACACTGTATGCACCTCTTAACAAACTCAGCACAATCTCCTTTTAGAGTTGGCCAATAATATCCGGCTCGTGATACCTTTGCCGCAAGAGTTCGGCCTCCGGAATGGGATCCGCAGATGCCTTCGTGAATTTCCCTCATCACATAGTCGGCCTGGAGATTGTCAATACACTTAAGCAACGGGGTGGAGAATCCGCGCCTGTAGAGTTCGCCGGCTATGATGGAGTACCGAGCTGCTTGGGTTCGCAATTTTCTGGCTTCCACCGAATCAGTTGGCAATTCTCCCTGGAGGATGAAGTTCCGAATAGGAGTCAGCCAGCTTGGAACTTCGACCTCGGCAGCCATGCACTCGACGGCCACACTTGGAGAGGGGACTTCGAGGTGAATTGTTGTTCTTAGCTGTCCTGGCTTTCTGGTGCTGGCGAGCCGAGCTAACTGATCGGCTCGTTCGTTGTTACTTCTTGGGATATGCCGAATTTGAACCTCGGTGAAATCATCTTTGAGTTTTCGGAAGAGGTGATAATACTGCAACAAATTAGCATCTTTGACTTGAAAGTTGTCGTTGACTTGTTCGGCAACTACTTTCGAGTCGGTCCAGCATATGACCTTCTTAACATTCATCTCTGTTGCTAATCTAAGTCCGGCTATTAAAGCTTCATACTCGGCCTGGTTATTGGACGCGCGGAAGCCGAACCGAAGGGATTGCTCAATTGTGATGCCTGAAGGATTAGCGAGGATTATGCCTGCACCACTACCTTGGGCGTTAGATGATCCATCCACATGAAGGATCCAAGGTTGGTCTTCGAAAGATCCTGGAGGAGTGAGCTCGTTGACGAAATCTACCAAGTGTTGTGATTTAATAGGGCCCCTTGGCTCGAAGGATATGTCAAATTCAGATAACTCAACCGACCACGCCATCATTCGGCCGGCAATTTCTGGCTTCCGAAGGACCTTTGCGATCGGACAGTCGGTTCGGACGACAACCTTATGGCTTTGGAAGTACTGTCTCAACCGTCGGGCGGCGTAGACGAGTCCTAGGGCAACCTTCTCGAGCAATTGATAACGTCGCTCGGCGTCCTGCAACGTCCGACTAATAAAATAGATGAGCTGTTGACCTTGGTTTTCTTGCATCATAACGGCACTGATGGAGCTGTCCGAAACCGACAAATAGATAATCATATCTGCATCGACGACCGGTTTACATAATACTGGGGGCATGCCGAGCCGGTTTTTAAACTGCTGAAAAGCTTCTTCACACCCTTGGGTCCATTTGAATCGTTCCGTTTTCTTTAGCAAGAGTAGGATCGGCCCGACAATCTCGGCTAAACAGGGAAGGAAGCGAGACAACGAAGTGAGCCGTTCGGCTAACTTTTGAACCTCTTTCAACGTTGTCGGACTTTTCATGTCCAAGATGGCTTGGCATTTATTCGGATTCGCCTCAATGCCTCTTTCATTTCAACACATTATCCTCTCCATGTGACCAATAAAATAACTCCTCTTTTTTCCTTTTGTCTTTGGCCTTTCGAGTTTTTTTTTTTTTTTTTTCTTTTCAAATCGTGACCAGTTATTAGTTCAGTTGCTTTTGGTTTGGTAACTTCTCATCCCCACCATTCCCTTGATCTTGTTTGTTCCACCACACTCCACTCACTGTAACAACTAACAACTTCATCAGTAACACAATCCTATAGTTTGGTTTGTCTAGTTTCACACATGCTCTCGTCCTAGGTGGACCCTCACACTCTTCCTCCATTCTCGATGTGACAAAAGAAACAAACTGTCCACTTCATAACACCGAATTCGCATTGAAATTGTTCACCACATCTATTGGTTTTATTTTTCTTCTTCGATTCGGTAACATTTGATTCTCCAATTTTCGGAAAAAATGTTATTATTTTATCTCAGAACTCAATGTTATTTTCAGTACATGGCTCTTAAATTACTTTTTTGGTATAACCATAGGAGTAATCACTCCATAGTCCATACTTATATGTCAATGATCAATACCCGTCCTTAATTAAGAAACAAAAACCTCAAATTACTTGTGTTAATGTGTTAACGACTTTTAATGTTAGCTCGTAAATTATATTGATAATAATTTGGGAAAGTGAAAATAGATAAACGAAAAAACATAAACAGATCCAGAGCCTTTGTAGTTTCAGTAGGAAAATTATAAATAAAACAATCGGGAAAAAATACACTCATGGAACGAAACGGGGCGTTGAAACAGGACAATGCTACGAGGAAAGACAAAATCATATATTATTACAAAACTTAAGACACACTTCCTCAACTTCTCTCATAGGAATTCGAATTTTATCTAAATAATAATAATTTTTTATTACACATTTTATCGAAATAAAATTTCAATTACGAAAAGACGACAAACATCGTACTCCAATTCGGATAACAAAGAACGTAATTAACGAAATGCATCAAGGACTTGTAGAATATATTAATTATTACGTGAAAAATGAAAAAATAAAAAAATAAAAAAATAAAAGTGTGTGTTGTTTGAGAATGGGGAAGGAGGAAGATTGGGTACCTGAAGCGTGAGCAAGGGAGGAAGAAGGAGAGGCAGCGCAGATGGCTATGGAGGTGACATTGATTTTGATTCTAACGAGACGCATCTCATCACAAACCGCTGAATCCTAATCCTTTGGTTTTTGTTTGTGGGATCAACGAAATCCAATTAGATGGTAGTACTTGGTCTAGTACTTATTCTAAGAAGTAACAACAAAACTAGTGTTCTCCTAACATTATTATTATTTTTTAACTATTATTATGATTATTTTTATTCATATATTTATTTTAATGTAATAAATAAAATTTAAATAATTAATTTATTCTATTATTACATTTAAAAATATCAAAAATTAATAATGTGATAATTGTTGGAATTATTTTTAATGCCAATAAAAAACCCCTTTTTTTCCTTTTGTTTTTGGCCTTTCGAGTTTTTTTTTTTTTTTTTTCTTTTCAAATCGTGACCAGTTATTAGTTCAGTTGCTTTTGGTTTGGTAACTTCTCATCCCCACCATTCCCTTGATCTTGTTTGTTCCACCACACTCCACTCACTGTAACAACTAACAACTTCATCAGTAACACAATCCTATAGTTTGGTTTGTCTAGTTTCACACATGCTCTCGTCCTAGGTGGACCCTCACACTCTTCCTCCATTCTCGATGTGACAAAAGAAACAAACTGTCCACTTCATAACACCGAATTCGCATTGAAATTGTTCACCACATCTATTGGTTTTATTTTTCTTCTTCGATTCGGTAACATTTGATTCTCCAATTTTCGGAAAAAATGTTATTATTTTATCTCAGAACTCAATGTTATTTTCAGTACATGGCTCTTAAATTACTTTTTTGGTATAACCATAGGAGTAATCACTCCATAGTCCATACTTATATGTCAATGATCAATACCCGTCCTTAATTAAGAAACAAAAACCTCAAATTACTTGTGTTAATGTGTTAACGACTTTTAATGTTAGCTCGTAAATTATATTGATAATAATTTGGGAAAGTGAAAATAGATAAACGAAAAAACATAAACAGATCCAGAGCCTTTGTAGTTTCAGTAGGAAAATTATAAATAAAACAATCGGGAAAAAATACACTCATGGAACGAAACGGGGCGTTGAAACAGGACAATGCTACGAGGAAAGACAAAATCATATATTATTACAAAACTTAAGACACACTTCCTCAACTTCTCTCATAGGAATTCGAATTTTATCTAAATAATAATAATTTTTTATTACACATTTTATCGAAATAAAATTTCAATTACGAAAAGACGACAAACATCGTACTCCAATTCGGATAACAAAGAACGTAATTAACGAAATGCATCAAGGACTTGTAGAATATATTAATTATTACGTGAAAAATGAAAAAATAAAAAAATAAAAAAATAAAAGTGTGTGTTGTTTGAGAATGGGGAAGGAGGAAGATTGGGTACCTGAAGCGTGAGCAAGGGAGGAAGAAGGAGAGGCAGCGCAGATGGCTATGGAGGTGACATTGATTTTGATTCTAACGAGACGCATCTCATCACAAACCGCTGAATCCTAATCCTTTGGTTTTTGTTTGTGGGATCAACGAAATCCAATTAGATGGTAGTACTTGGTCTAGTACTTATTCTAAGAAGTAACAACAAAACTAGTGTTCTCCTAACATTATTATTATTTTTTAACTATTATTACTGAGGGTACACTCGTAATCTTCAGGGGAATATGAGGACCGAACGAGAGCTTTAGGTGGATTCTTCGGAGGGGGAGGTACCTGCAAAAGATACTCCGATGCTTAAGTCAGTGTGGGCACGATTTTCTAGGGTAATGAATGAACAGTGACATACCTTGTTACGTGTGACCTATTTATAGCATCTGACATGGGCCTGAGCGTGATGGGCCCTCTCAGATATTTACCAAATTAGGTAATACGGTACTAATTGGTCGTTTAGGCTTTAATCATGTACTTACCTTTCTTGATTGTGATTACTTGTTATGACTTGCTTAACCCTTCGGCAAGAGGCCGAGCCGGCTAATCAATACTAGTCGGAACGGCAAATGACCGAACCGTCTAGTCCGTATACGGCAGCCTGTATACTTCCGGTATGTTCTATGTCGGAACGGTACCTGACCGAGCCGACTCGATGAATGATGATGGTCCATATTTGCATTAACCAGACTGATGTCGGTTCTCGGCCTCATGCCGAGCCGACGTTGATGGTGATGCTTGTACGTGGCTATGCATGGGTGTCTGACGAAATGGCACGTGTTGGCCCACGTGACCGATACGGTCTCTCCGGTACAATTCCTTTTTTTATTACAAAAATATAATTTGTTATTTTAATTACGTATACATATTAAATTACCTTTTTATTTTCAGATTAATTAAATATTTTTTTTGGAATTTGAAATTGTAACGACATCAAATTCATGCACTTCACAGTTTAACTAGCAATAAAAATAAATATTTAACTATTTAGAGTTAACATACAAATAATTTATGGATATACGTGTAATAATATATTAAAATCATATAAAAATCATAAAATGTATTTCAATGGAACTACATCATATCTTGCATACACACACATATATAGTAATCCAAAATTGAAATATAAACTTACATTACCAGCGAAGAAACACTATAAATTAAATAGCTATAAAGTAGTTCCAAGCTACATCTCCATTCAACATGACTCTCAACTTCATCTTCTCCTTCAGCTTATCCCTGTTCTACTCTCATATAAAAATATGATCATCGTAATCCAATAACAAGGAAATATGTAAGAGTAATCTAACATTCAAAAAATACAACAACGTATAGAAGTATTAAATTTATTATGTAACAACTTAAGCAACTCAACATTCAATAACCACTCAAAGCAACAACTTAGCAACATAACATCATCCTCAACTTAACTTGTCAACATTGCATGCGAACAACTCAATTCAATATTCAACTAGAACAACACAATCACATTACAACTTATCCATACATCATAACATATGCACAACATAATTCATCAACTCAACAACATATGTACAACTCAGCAACTGAATGCATCGTCATACATTTTAACTAAGAGATATCTTACAACATAAGTGAATAATTAAAGTGACTTGATCCTACCAAACTAACTAACAACTAATAACACGATCTTTTTAGGCTAGCTAGATCAATAGCTAAGTTTGATAAAAATTCACAACACAACATGATTTTTTAAATTTCGTTACTTAAACTAAGAAAGTCTAGTATTCTTATTAGGGTAGAACAACTTAGGTGTGAGCCTACTACAATCTTAACATGTATAACTAAGTCTCATATGGGATTAGCTTCCTAACTACCTTTTAAATACTACGCCCTTTTTAGTATTTAATTAAGGATTATGGCTCTCAACCTTATACCTTACTCAATTTGGTCATTTTGTACATGTAGGGCTCAACTTGGCTCCCGTATGGACAAACATTTGATCATTTTACAATCAGTATAGCTTGAGTTGCCCCCTATATTATGGTCACTTATAGACAATATGACTTAACCGTGCCTCGTATTAACTAAGATCCTAGAGGAGACTCAATAATCTACTTTAGAGTCAACTTCTCAAGAAGGATTTTCAACAATTGAGCTAGTCGAGCACTACAACACAATATCCTCATAGAGTCACAGTGGGATATTCAACTTTTAAAATAACCTCTCATTTAGTCCTAAGTCTATCAACACAACTCAACATAATGCATTAAGAATTCTCAACACACCCACCTCAACATTTTAACTTATAACTCTCAATAGTTTAATCATTTATTACACATTATCTTATATCAATGTATAAAGGATCAACATCATACATCAACATGCAACATGATAGAGGTTTAACAAACATATGCATGT